TCGCCCAGGCTGGAGTGCAGTGGCCGGATCTCAGCTCACTGCAAGCTCCGCCTCCCGGGTTTACGCCATTCTCCTGCCTCAGCCTCCCAAGTAGCTGGGACTACAGGCGCCCGCCACCTAGCCTGGCTAGTTTTTTGTATTTTTTAGTAGAGACGGGGTTTCACCGTGTTAGCCAGGATGGTCTCGATCTCCTGACCTCGTGATCCACCCGTCTCAGCCTCCCAAAGTGCTGGGATTACAGGCGTGAGCCACCGCGCCCGGCCTTCCTGTTGTATTTTCTAAATGGTTACTTGCTGATAAGTAGCAAACCTTCTGGGTTTTGTGTAGGTTTTGTATTTGCCCAAATGACTCAGTTCTCTCACTGATTGTCGTAGTTTTTCAGTTGATAATTGGGTTTCCCATGTAAAAAAGGTACCTCTGCAAAAACATTAACTTTATTTAGACTTTTAGTCTTTTTTTTCCTGTGAGTGACAGGGTCTTGCTCAGTTGTCCAGGCTGCAATCCTCTCACCTCAGCCTCCCAACTAGCTGGGACTATGGGTGCATGCCACCTGGCTATATTCTTTCTTATAGCATTATTTCAGCTAAAAGAATAATAAATAGTAGTGACTTTATTATTTTAATTTAGTGACTTCTTTAATGCAAATAGCATTGCATTTCATTTTTAAGTATAATGATGGCTATGTTTTTTTTTTTTAAATCAGAAACGGACGTTAATTTATATCTAGTGTCATTTTTGCCTCTATTGAGAGAATTGTGTGACACCTCTGAGGTTTTTTTTTTTTTTTTTGGTAAGGGTAGGAGGAACAACGTCTTGCTCTGTTGCCCAGGCTGGAATGCAGTGGTGGGATCTCAACTCACTGCAACCTCCACTTCCTGGGTTTAAGCAATTCTCCTGCCTCAGCCTCCCAAGTAGCCGGAATTACAGGGACCCGCCAACACAACCGGCTAATTTTTTTTTTTTTTTTTTTTTTTGAGACAGAGTCTTGCTCTTTCACCCAGGCTGGAGTGCAGTGGCACGGTCTTGGCTCACTGCAACCTCCATCTCCTGGGTTCAAGCAATTCTCCTGTCTGAGCCTCCCAAGTAGCTGGGACTACAGGCACCTGCCACCACACCCAGCTAATTTTTGTATTTTCAGTAGAGACGGGCTTTCACCATATTGGTCAGGCTGGTCTCAAACTCCTGACCTCAGGTGATCTGCCCACCTCAGCCTCCCAAAATGCTGGGATTACTGAGCCACCTCACCTGGCCAAGAGATGCTCCCCAGAATGGCTCGAACCACCCACCTCCAGAGTTGGAGGTAAGCACACCAATCAATCCACGACATGGAGGGTCGAGTGGTGCTCTGTATTTTTTTTAGTAGAAACAGGGTCTCACGATGTTGGCTGGGCTGGTTCTCAAACTCCTGACCTCAGATGATCTGCCCACCTCGGCTTCCCAAAGTGCTGGGATTACAGGCATTAATCACCATGCCCAGCCACCTCTGACATCTTATGTTGATGAATTATAAAGGGTAAGCCATCCATGCATTTTTGGGAATACATCCTTTACTTCTTTATGGTACATTATCCTTTATCATAGTGTTAGATTTAATTTTCGAGTATTCTATATTAGACTTTTACACCAACGTTTCTAAGTAGTGTCGTTTTCTTTTCTGCACTGTCAGCATTTGAGAACAAGGCTATATCAACTTTGTGACACACACAGGCTGTTGTCCATCTGTTCCTTGGCTCTGTGACAGTCTCTACAAAGCATTTACAGGCTCTACTTCTTCAACACTTTTCAAAATTTCCCCTCAAAACTATTTGATACAATTATCTTTCAGTCGTTTTTAACAGTTACTGGTCTATCCAGTCATTCAATTTTTTTTTTTTCACATCTGCTTAGTTTTTTATTTAGTTAAGTATTAAGGACCAGTTTATCAACTCATTAGATTGGTCAGGGCAAGACACTTGAACTATGCAGCAGGATTTAAAAAGCAGTTGGTTTTTGGTAGTTCTCTGGTAACCACACAAACACATACACACAAATTTGTAAACTACTCTGAATATTGGATTTCCCCCGTGATCTTGTATAATAACGTGCTGTTCACAATCTGCAGTATTTTGGAAAGTATATAAATTGGACACGGCCAAATTAAAGATATTTCATAAACGCCTATAAAGTATTTGGGAACTTCAGCTGTATTCCCCAAAAAATCAGTTTTAAACTATAAAGAACAAAAATGCATATAAAATCAAAACAGATTTAACAGACGTCTTTGAAAAAAATCAAATTATAATTCAATTTTCTACTTTTTCAAATATGACTAAGAAAAAGAGTCACAAGTAGTAATGTCTACCATCTTTTAAAAAATCCTCTAATAATTTTTTTTGAGACCGAGTCTCGCTCTGTCGCCCAGGCTGGGAGTGCGGTGGCGCGATCTGGGCTCACTGCAAGCTCCGCCTCCCGGGTTCACGCCATTCTCCTGCCTCAGCCTCTCGAGTAGCTGGGACTATAGGCGCCCACCACCACGCCCGGCTAATTTTTCGTATTTTTAGTAGAGACGAGGTTTCACCGTGTTAACCAGGATAGTCTTGATCTCCTGACCTCGTGATCCGCCTGCCTCGGCCTCCCAAAGTGCTGGGATTACAGGCATGAGCCACTGCGCCTGGCCCAACCAACCAGATTCCTTAATAAATTTCAGTCATTATATTTCCCTGGCACAGATTTATTAGCATAGCACCAAACATGGTAACCCCTGATAAATATTAAAATATTTTCCTATCACAATGGTCACAATTCTAACTATTAGTAAACACTTTCTTAAACGGTAGCCCTCTCTGTTAAATGGTAAGTTCTCTGGGGACAGTGAACTTGTCCTTCCCGTTTCCCACTCTATAACCCTAGTACCTACTGGGTACCTAGAATGTACTCAAGAAATAGCTGTGGGGCAGGAGCAGTGGCTCATGGCTGTAATCCCATCACTTTGTGCAGACTGCTTGAGTTCAGGAGTTTGAGACTAGCCTGGGCAACACGGCAATACCCTGACTCTATAAAATTTTTTTTTTAATTAGCCAGGCATGGTAGTGTGTGCCTATAGTCCCAGCTACTCAGGGGGCTGAGGTGGGAGGACTGCTTAAGTCTGGGAAGTCGAGGCTGCAACGAGCCGTGATTGCACCACTGCACTCCAGCCTGGGTGACAGAGTGAGATACTATCTCAAAAAAAAAAAAGGAAAAATAGTTGTGAAGCTATGAATGAAATTAAAGCTTCTTTTTTTCTTTGTTTTGCCTATTGTCCTTTTATTTTTCTACATTAGAAATGCCAAAGTCATGTCTTTTTTTTTTTCTTTTTTTAAGTACTGGATCCTAAATGACTTATCTATTTTATATTTTTAATTTCAAATTTATTAACTTCAAAGTTATATTCAAAAGAAAATTAATAATCAAATTATTTCCTAAAAACAAGACTGAAATAAATGAAAATAAATTAATCCATTGGCCTAAAGTTAGAAAAAATAAAACAAACTTTGCCATTATTATAGGTTTGTATCATGTAAAGAACATGAAACTTTCTTATTCAATCTAAACTCCATTTCAGTTGGAGGCTTATTCCACTGAAATTTATCATCATGACTGATATACCTGTCTTTGCTTTTATCTGTTTCACATTTTAATACTACAATGCTGCTTCTTTTGTTGTAAATATGATTTCATTTAGTTTCTTCACCTCTTATGATCTGCAAAGATTATTTCTTGCTTTTTAATTCTAGTAGCATACCATTTACTACTTTTAAAACTATTGACTTGGCAGGACGCAGTGGCTCACTCCTGTAATCCTAACACTTTGGGAGGCTGAGGCGGCTGGATCACCTGAGGTCAGGAGTTCGAGACCAGCCTGGACAACATGGCAAAACCCTATCTCTACTAAAAAATGCAAAAATTAGCCAGGCGTGGTGGTGGGCGCCTGTAATCCCAGCCACTTGGGAGGCTGAGGCAGGAGAATTGCTTGAACCCAGGAGAAGGAGGCTGCAGTGAGCTGAAATTGCACCACTACACTCCAGCTTGGGTGACAGAGTGAGACTCTGTCTCAAAAAAAAAAAAGTTTGCTTCTTTTTTCCAGCAGCATTCCAAGAGAGAAATGACAGGATGTGAACTAAGCCCAGGACTAGGAGACTAAAGGAGAGGGAATGGATTTGAGAGCAGTGAAGGGCATACTAATCAATGGAGAAGAGGAATAAACAAATCTAGGCAGCAAGCAGTGCCTTAAGGGTCCCCAAGTCCATGTTGAAGAGGAGTTGGGGGCTCATGCTGAGTGTCTCTCAAGTTCACCTCCCAGAACAGCAACCCTTGCAACACACACCTCACTAGACCCTCACCATAACCCATGGGGCAGATATTACCATTTCCATTCTACAGATGAAGAAACAGAGCTCAGAAAAGTTCAACTGAATTCTGGTCTCTGGAATCCAAAAACGTCTTGAGCTACCACTGGGCAGCTGAGGCAGGGTTAAGCTGCGTGGGAAAACTGAGGACAAGACTTTGACCCACTGGATCAACCTTATCATCAAGTTGCAGGCCACAAAAAGAACATACCTGATAAAATAGAAAATAGAGGCCGGGCGCGGTGGCTCAAGCCTGTAATCCCAGCACTTTGGGAGGCCGAGACGGGCGGATCACGAGGTCAGGAAATCGAGACTAGCCTGGCTAACACGGTGAAACCCCGTCTCTACTAAAAAAATACAAAAAACTAGCCGGGCGAGGTGGCGGGCGCCTGTAGTCCCAGCTACTGGGGAGGCTGAGGCAGGAGAATGGCGTAGACCCGGGAGGCGGAGCTTGCAGTGAGCTGAGATCCGGCCACTGCACTCCAGCCCGGGCGACAAAGCGAGACTCCGTCTCAAAATAAATAAATAAATAAATAAAAATAAAAAATAAAATAGAAAGCAGCAGATAGTTCAGCGCTAACTGGTGAACAGAGAACAGACACAGTCTCAAAGATCAGGGATAAAATCTCCAGTGGGGAAGCTTGGTCTGGTGCTTTGTATCCGTTTCTATCGGTCCTTACAGCCGCTCGTCAGACCCCAGCAGCAAAGATGGTAAAGCAGATCGAGAGCAAGGCTGCTTTTCAGGAAGCCCTGAACACCGCAGGTGATAAACTTGTAGTAGTTGACTTCTCAGCCACGTGGTGTGGGCCTTGCAAAACGATCAAGCCTTTCTTTCATTCCCTCTCTGAAAAGTATTCCAACGTGGTATTCCTTGAAGTAGATGTGGATGACTGTCAGGATGTTGCTTCAGAGTGTGAAGTCAAATGCATGCCAACATTCCAGTTTTTTAAGAAGGGACAAAAAGTGGGTGAATTTTCTGGAGCCAATAAGGAAAAGCTTGAAGCCACCATTAATTAATTAGTCTAATCATGTTTTCTGAAAACATAACCAGCCATTGGCTATTTAAAACTTGTAATTTTTTTAATTTACAAAAATATAAAATATGAAGACATAAACCCAGTTGCCATCTGTGTGACAATAAAACATTAATTCTAACGCTTTAAAAAAAAAAAAATCTCCAGGGGGCACTGGGCTCCCACACTGCCAGTTACCTGAACAACCCTGGGTTATCTGGCCATCTCGGCATAATTAGTAATCATGGAGGTGGGGATGTTTGGATGACAAATTATCTGATCATCCCAGCAATGCCCCGCATTTGAACCATGTTTACCAATTTTTATAGATTATTCTGTGTGAATTTCACAGGCCCACTGCAGAACAGTGATTCAGAAACTTTTTTGGTCATAAACCTGTTAAGAATCTGATGAAAGCTATAATCTCCCTCTCCACTAAAACAACAAATACAAAATCGTGTATGTAATTTTGACACGTTCATATCCTTTGACAGAGCAACTCCACTTCCAGGAATTTGCCCTACAGATATACAAGCACAAGGGCAAAGACAGATACAAGGATATTTGTGGTGGTATTGTTTAAAATAGGAAACCCTCCGAAACAAACCTGAAGTCCACCAGTAGGGCACTGGTGAAATAAACCAGGGAAGTGGGGGCAGGATGGGGTGAGGGAGTATAGACAGCACTGGCTTCAGGCTTAGCTTCCCCTTAAAAGATGCAGGGGCCTTCCTGCCCCCCTACCCAACCTGGTGCCCCCAACTCAGCAAGGTCCCTGGAGAGGAAGAAATGCAAGCAAGCGCACAGGAGGAGGCTAAATAATGAATTGTAAGTGTGTGTTTTCTTTGGCCAGGGCAGTCTGGCCAAGCTCTGGGGGCTGCTGGGCAAACATTTTTCATATTTTAGTAGCTGGCCTATGCCCAAAGCAGTCAAAAGTTAAGCAAGCTTTGAATGAGCTGCTCCCTTGCTCTCCAAGGTCCCAAGAATTCTTAATGAGGTTCTAAGGCAGTGGCCTCCAGGCCTCCAGCAAACTGGTCATGTTGCCTTAAATATCACTTACCCTTCACTACTTTTAATGAATGCAAATGATTCAGCAACAAAACACTTAGCCTGAAGCGAAATCCGTCTTTGTGCAGCCGGTTTCACCAGCTTGCTGACAGCCCAGCTCAGGCAGGGCCCTACCGGACAGGCAGGCAGGCTGGCCCAGCGGAGCCGCAGGTGCCCAGGCTAGCCCAGGCAGACCCCTGCACACTCAGGGCAGCAGCAGCAAAAGGCAGGAAGTGCAGAGCACAAGGGAAGATCTCCATCCCACCCACCACCCCAGCGACCAGGTGCAGACCTTCACAATTCCACCTCTTTATGACTCTGGCTCCAGGGCAGAGGAAAGTGTGAGCAGGAAAAACAAAAGGTATTTATTTGATCTAAGGAATAGGGCTTGGTCCCAGGCACCTCAAAGGCTTGTCCGGTCACCACCCACCCCCACCTCCCCTTCACCTGAGGCCAGGTTCCAGAGGAACTCAGAAAGAGAACCCGCAAAGCTCGCAAAGCTCGCTTGGATCCCGGCCCTCCTTCACCAACTGCAAGGAAGTGACAAAAACAGAGACAGTGTAAAGAACCCAATTTACACCCTGTTTTTGAAGTTCTCTTTTGGCAGCAAAAACTGAAAGCAATTTTTCAAGAGTCTGAGAGCAACTTTTAACTAATTTCTTTCCAACCTGAGGCTCAGGGGGATTTCTTGCCCTGTCAGCCTGATCAACACCTCTCCCCGGGGCTGAGATAGCAACCCTGGCCCAGAACAGGCAGCTGTTAATTCAGCTGCCACGTCTTCACCAGCTGCTGGCGGGAGACCCACAGAGGTCCATGCAGGCTCTCTCTAGGCTTTCTTGGTCGTGGATGCAAATATGGAATCAGAGGGCATTAGACCCAAACTAGGCAACTGGCTAAACTCAGGACTACTGAGAGCCCACACATATCTGCCTAGCTGCCTTAGACATAAAAAGGGCTTTGAAATATTTGTTGACTTGGTTTAAAAAGGGGCTGACTTGGCCCCTTTCAACCCTCACAGGACAGAGAAGACAAGATCAGTCTCCCCAACAGAAAAAAGTTTCTCATTGTATCTTAGAGGGCCTCCAAAAATAAGTTATATTGCATCAAAAAATGCCCTTAGCTGTACATCCGTCTTTCAGAAAAAGAGCACTGCAATTTTCTTAAAATAATCAGGAAGAACATTTCAATGCCATTCTTCCCCATCAGTTAAGGCACACCATCTATTATATAATACCTTATTATTCAAAACACTCTCATAGAAAGCCAACCGAAGCAGAAAAGAGCATTCCTTAATCGAGGGGCTAAGTCTCCTAGCCCCTGGGACTCTTAAGTTCTTGCCTTCCATTAATTGGCCCCTTTCCTTCCTGGGCCTCAGTGACCACGCAGGAAGAATGCTTTCCAAAACCCCTATGTGGTAAAGTGCTTAAGGCTACAGAAGTGAACAGGTAGAAGGCTTGACACACACATCTACACAGCAATCTACTGGTTTTTGTTTTGTTTTGTTGTTTTTTTAAGACAGAGTTTCATTCTTGTTGCCCAGGCTGGAGTGTAATAGCACAATCTTGGCTCACCGCAACGTCCACCTCCCAGGTTCAAGCGATTCTCCTGCCTTAGCCTCTCAAGTAGCTGGGATTACAGGCATCCACCACCACAACTGGCTAATTTTTTTTTTTTAAGTAGAGACTGGGTTTCTCCATGTTGGTCGGACTGGTCTGGAACTCCCAACCTCAGGTGATCCCGCCTGCCTTGGCCTCCCAAAGTGCTGGAACTACAGGCATGAGCCACCATGGCCTGGCCAGCAATCTATTTTTAAAAAAACAATTTTGCTTTTGATATTCATACAAAAGGGACACATCTTTCTCTTTTCATCCACCATATAAACCCCATAACCAATCCACCCCACCATCAAATGAACCAGAACTCAACCAAACAAAGAATTCCTTGGCCTTTGGGAAGTTACAATGTGCCTGAAGGGGGAAAGGTGGTGAAGCAGGAGAACAGGGCCTGCAGGAAGCGAACCTAAGGCTGTTTCACACCTATGTCCTCCAACTAAATTGAAATGAAAGCCCTGACTTTGCAGGCCTAAGTAACAAAAAGAGCAGAGGCTACTACTCGCTTTGAACCTTTCTGCCAGGCAGATGGGAAATTGGCTGTCTGCAGCCAATCATACTGAGTGCAGATCCTGTCTTCATTTGCAACTTTGTAACTTCACTCCAGCCTCTGAATGGTTGCTATCCACAACCAATCAGACTGACATGCTGGCCCAGTCTTCCTTTGCACAGAAATGTAACTTTGTAACTTCACCCTAGCCACTGACTGGTTGCTTTTTCCAACCAATCAGATGTTTGCACAGGAGCATGACCTTTGCATGAAGTGGCCAGTAGGAAACTTTTAGGGGGTATTTGGGTCCAGGAAGATTCTGCATCCCAGCCCTTAAGCCGCTGCTTGAGTCTGCTCCCGCACTGTGGAGTGTACTTTCATTTTCAATATATCCCTGCTTTCCTTCTTCTGTTGCTTCATTCTTTCTTTGCTTTGCTGGGGGTTTTGTCCAATTCTTTGTTCAAAACACCAAGAACATGGACACTTGCAGTCACGACCCTCTACCAGTGACAGTGTCATTCAGTAATGCTTGGGTAGCACAAAGTAGAATGGATGGCAACCAGTTGTCTCCACAAAGTCAGAATCAGCCTCACACAAGTGTGCTGCTGGGGAAGAAAACGCTACCATCTCCTGTCCGTCTCCTGCCTGCCTGAGCCAGGTCTCCATCCTCTGAGCTCCTGACATTTACTGTGTGCCTCTCTTTGGTCTTCTCTGTACCCTTGTCTTGTTAATCACTCTCTTCAGATTCTGTCTTGATTCACCTACCAGCAATCCATTCCTGGAGTAAACCTCCAGTGTCCCCCAGCTCAGTCTTTCAAGTTGGAGACTGAATTAGCCAGGCGTGGTGGTGGGCACCTGTAATCCCAGCTACTCTAGAGACTAAGGCAGGAGAATCACTTGAACCCGGGAGGTGGAGGTTGCAGTGAGCCGAGATTGCGCCATTGCACTCCAGCCTGGGCAACAAGAATGAAACTCCGTCTCAAAAAAAAAAAAAAAAAAAGGAGAACCTGTCATCAGAGAGTCACTGTATTCTTTCCATAATAGACAGACTGTGTGCCTTCTGAGGGATACCTACCTCCTCTTGTAAACATCTCTTGCCTTATGAAGGCTTAAAGTCACCAGCCACCTGCCACCAACATACACACATGCACGCAATACTTAGCATGATGCTTTATGCCTTAAGCATCATTTGTAATTTACATGCCAGACTAAAAGGAAAACGGGTTTTATTGAAAGTTACTGGTAGATGGGAAGCAAAACTAGGCCTGTAAATTACAGTTATAACCATCACAGATAAGCATCACAGTTATAACCATCACAGATAACCATCACAGCTATAACCACCACAGATAATCATCACAGTTATAACCTCCACAGATAACCATCACAGGTATAACCTCCACAGATAACCATCACAGTTATAGTCATCTTTTACTGAGCATTCACAAGATCACAGACTAAGTCCTTCACATATACTGAATTTAGAAGATGCTCCATTATTTATTTGCACCAAGAGGACAAAGTGGTACTAGTTGAACTAAGACATAATGTTATATACAGTAGTCCCCCCAATCCTGGGGGGGATACGTTCTATGATCCCCCAGTGGATGTCTGAAAACTTAGATAGTAACAACCCCCAAATGGTATGTTTTTTGCCTATATATACATACCTACAGTAAAATTTCATTTATACATTAAGCACTTGACATCTGTAATCCCAGCACTTTGGGAGGCTGAGGTAGTAGAAGGATTGCTTGAGTCTAGGAGTTCAAGATCAGCCTGGGCAACAGAGCAAGATCTTATCTCTACAAAAATTTAGCTGGGTGTGATGGCACACACCTGCAGTCCCAGCTACTGGGGAGGCTGAGGTGGGAGGATCGCTTGAGCCAAGGAGGTCTTGAGGCTGCAGTGAGCCATGACTGCACTACTGCGTTCCAGCCTGGGCAACAGAGCAAGACCATATCTCCAAAGATTAATAAATAAATTAGGCACATTAGGCTGGGC